CGGACCCGGCCGGGGCTGGCGGTGTCCGAGCCTGGACGGATTCCCCGAGTTTTTGCCCCAGGGAAGTGCCCCCGCCGAGCATGTGAGGTTTGGGACCCTGGCCCCGAGCGGGGATGGCTCGGGGGAAGGCTCCGGGGTGCCGACAGAAGCGGGAGAAGGGGCTTGTCGGTACCCTAAAGGTCTCCTGCTCCCGTCAGGCCGGGCTTGCTCCCGTGCTGAAAGTTGGAAGAGCATGAAGGGGCTCCTGCGAGGTGATGCCGGGACGCCGGCAGCCTCCTGTGTCCTCCCGTGTCCCTCCGTTCAGCACACACGCTGCCATCCTGAGCATGGCTCTGCCTGGTCTGCCAGCGGGTGAACGTGCTCTTTAGAGCAACTGGAGTTGCTTCTCTGGATCTCGGCAGCACAAGGACACGGATGTTTATGTTTGCTACTTCCCTGTCAGTATAGGAAGAATTGTCCCTGGCTTTTTCCCCAACGAGCTGCCAGTTTTTCCCACCTCTGACTTAAGGTTGCAGCAAAACTGCTGCTCAGTGTTTCACAGTGGTAGCCTGAGTCTTGCGGCTCTTCTCGTCTTTTCATGAGTGATGGAAGTTGCACGTCAGTAACATGGGTTGAAGCATAATGACAGCGCAGGTGCCCATTAGCACCAGTCAGGCCAGTGTTTGTGCGTAGGCACTGAATAAATTGCTCCCATGGAAGCTCTGATTCACCCTCTTGAAAGTGTAATTCCACATCTGAGGTCAGAGCTTTGACCAAAAAAAAGCAGCGTTAGCGTTTTTCTCCATGCCAACTTCTTGCTGTGCCTCCTGCATTAGGGTAATGCATCCAGCAGCATGTAAACGTTGGTCCAGCGCTGCCCCACCAAGAGCAGATCACTTCTTGTGCATTTGCACGCCCTTTCGAAGAGCAGCATTAAAAGCAGGAGGGAGGAGCGGTGAGGACGCTCCACATCGTGTGCATGAAACTTTAACGTGGCTTCAGCAGGCTGCGAGCACAGAGTGGGCTCTGTCCCCTGTGACTAACTCGGGCTGTCCTCTTAACCTTGCAGATAATCCGCGTGCAGTCACCGGAAGGGGTGAAGCGCATCACAGCCACGAAGCGAGAAACGGTGGCGACATTCCTCAAGAAGGTACCTCGAGCCTCTGCTGCACCTTCCCCGCTCACCTGCGGGACGAGGCAGGGCTCCGGCTCAGCCTGCGCAGCAGCTCTCTCTCACGGGAGATACGTGCTTAACCTCGCTGGGCAAATGTGCTGATGGCAGCGAGGATCGGCATGCCTTGTGGAAAGCGGCATGTGGCATTGGTGTAGCCAAAACCAGTTTTCTCATTGCTGTTCCAGAGGGAAAATAACAAAACTAAAGAAGAAAACTTAATCAGTTTTTCAGCTGGAGTTTCCTGGGGTGGGAGCTTTCCTGGGGAAGACACATTTTTAGTGTGCTCCCAAAGAAACGGCAGCTAGGGAAGCAAGAGGCTGACAACAGCACAGGAAAGCTGATAGTCAAAGCCTGCTGTAAGGGACTGCCCTCTTCAGATGTGATCCAGTTGAAACTCAGCTGCTTGATTTGCGCTCTGAATATCTTTTGAATATGTTCTGTGTGCCGCTGGTTTTCCAGTGTCGTTTTGGAAAGAGCAAGGAGGGGATTCAGGCAAGATCTTAAGGATGTGAGAACCTCCGGAGTCTCCTGGGAAAGGTTTCCACCCTGGGATGAGGAGAACACACTGAGTGTTGGAGTGGTCAGATTTGGAGTTGGCTGTAGCTTGTTGTTTATTCTGATGCAACTGCTCAGTGTATAAAGTTTGCTATTTAAGAGTGAGCAGTTCTCCATTTCCTTCCCTCCTGGGACTCCTCTGTAACCTGGAACCCTCAGACTGGGATTTCTTTGCTTGGTAAGAGAAGTACTATGTGTCCTGTGCCTGAAGGGCCATTCTTTTAGTCAGCTAGATTTCCTTTCCCCCTGCAAGGGGGAAGGGGAGCAGACTGAAACCTTCTGCTGTTCGTGAGTCATTTGCTTTGTCTGAAGCTTGGGCCCAGACCGTTACAGCAATCCCCACCTGACCAAGAGAAAACCCTGACGGGTTTCAGGGCTGGGTCAGAGACACCCGCTACAGTCTCTGAACAGTCTCACCCACAGAAAAAAGTCTTGCTTTCAAAATCTCTGGAACCTGTGCAAAACAAGGTGCTCGGTTTCAAGGGTTCATGTTACCCGAAGCAGTGTGGAACAATCGTGCTTGCAACCAGTTACTGTCAGAACAAAAGCATCGGCACTCACTAAAATTGCCTGTTGATCTGGGGAAAACTATATCCTCTTGCTGAGCTGAATACAAAAAATGTTTGGGTTTCTTTCCTCATATAGGCCTTACGTGAAAGAGAAAATTTGCAGATTTTACCACCTAAGATCTGTGTGTATTATTAGCTGTGCATTTCAACACCGAAATGTTAATCCATATGGTGGATTTCGTATTTAGCTAGATAGCTGTAATTAAAGAGGCATCAGATTGCTGCTTCTATGTTTGCAGTTAACTTCGATCTCCTCCTTGACAGCTCCAGAGAAGCTGCAAAAGAAGTGTGCAAGAAAGCACATTTCTGAGTGGTAAGGGCTTCGGTAATCGTGTGGTTTTGTCTTTTGTAGCACATCCTAGGTAAGAGTACTAAAAAGTAAACTCTCAGGTATGTCCAGGTTAGAACTGAGTTAAGACCAAATTCGAGCCTTTTGTTAAATGCATTGTGGAATTTGTCTCCTTGAAAAAACTTGGAGAAATCTGTGGCCTGAAGAGCTAAGATTTAACTCTGGCAGGCGTAACGCAGGAGGTTAACCGTTCGAAAGCCATGCTTCCATTCAAACAACAGATCACTTGCTGCTACAAATCACAGCAAAGCTGACAGTAGAGAAACTGCTTTCTGTGACTTTGCTCATGTGACAGTCGTGTTTGTGGCTTGTTAGATTTGTCCTGTGTACAGCTCAGTCTCCGAGCCCCGCAAAAGCTGCAGAGAGATGTATTTAATAAAAATAAAGGCTCTTAACTTAAGAATTTAGGAAGAAGCTTGTCATCTAGAGAAACTTTGGACACCACTTTTAAACTGATGATGTTTTTAAGTGTCCCAGTGTAAAAATTGCTATTGCCGTGAAGAGGCGTGTGACTGATTAAGAGTAAAGCAGCCTTAAGCTGAACTGCTGAGAGGAATAAGCGGGAGAAAAAATTGTGTGAAACTCATGTAGCAACTGGTAGGTGAGAGCGGAACTGAGGGCAGAAGAGCCTCAGAGGTGAAGATCAGGACTGAGGAATTCTGGTCGTAGGAAGATGAGAGTGACTTGGCTGGTGCGGCAAGGCTGGAGCAGGAGAACTGGGATAATGGCGGGGATAGTTTCCCCACCTCTAGTCATGACAGTCCTTGCCTGGATTTAGATAAAATATTGCATTTGTGTTGCGTGAGAGACGCGTTCTTTTTAAGTTGCTTTTTTAAATAAATTTCTTGTGTTGCTAAGCATTTCTATTTTTCTCAGTTATCCCGTGCCCTTCAGAAATGCAGGGGAATTCAGCTCAAGTTTTGCAACAGAAGTTCCCTGGACTTAATACTTTCTCTGAGCAGTTTTCAGCATCTGACCCGGGGTCTGAGGTATCTTAAACCTTGCCATTCTTCTCTCTCTTTCAGGTTGCAAAAGAATTTGGTTTCAGGAATAATGGGTTTTCTGTCTACACCAATAGAAACAGGACAGGAGAGATCACAGCATCACAAAACAAATCCCTCAACTTACTGAAAATCAAGTGAGTCCTGACAGAGAGCGCTGTGGGTGAAGGGGAGGCTTTGTACAACACGTTACCCCTTCTCTGAGCTTGCCTGAACTCTCCCCTCTGAACTGGGCAGCAGCAGCAGCATCACGTTACAGCAGTCCTAAGCTTTCAACTATTGCTCGCCAGCTACTTGAAGGGGCAAGCTTGACCGACGTGCCGAAATGGGGGTGATCAAAATGACTACGCGTGAGGCTGTGGCAGCCATTTCTTAGGTCACTTCTCGTGTTGTGTTGCTTGTTGTGGTGAGGCAGCAACAGGCCTCCTGTTTGCTCTTTTACAGCCTGCAGCAAGCTCTCTCAGCCCTGCTTTCACTCACGCTATCCTTTTTTTCTGCATCAATGCCAGAGTCTGATAGTCCCCTGTGCAAAAGTCAGGGTTCCTGCCTTCTGTAGCCAGGCGCCTTGGGGAGATCAGAGGTGCCAAATGGTGCAATCACTTCATGTTTGGTTGGGAATGTCTTCGGTCTGTTCACGTCAAGAATAACATAAAACTGACTGAAAACACAAGAGCTATTACCACCCCATGCAACTTGTCACTTGAATGCGTCAGCACTGGCAGCTGCCGTGGGAAGGCTGTGACTTGATGTGCATGGGATCCGCACTAGTCCCTTTCCCTGCTGGAGCTGTTGCTTCTCTCTGTAGCCTCCGTTCACCTTTCTCTTCATCTTTTTCCCTCAGTCTTGTTGAAGATGAAGAGACTTGCATTTGTTGTGCAAATGACCAAAGCAGCAGAAAGAGGTGGCTGATGGAATGGCTCTGGACTTGCTAGTCTGTTTATAGTTTGTGATAAATTACACGTTCCTCTCTGGTCCGGGAGGTTTGCCACCCAGAAGCAATTACTGATAGCTGTGTGTTGTTTTCCTACACCTATAGGCATGGCGATATGCTGTTTCTCTACCCCTCAAGCCCGGCTGGCTCCTCCTCAGAGACCATGGACACCTCTGTCTCCCAAGGCTTGCGGCCTGCGGGGGCCCCCCAGGTGGTGGAAGATGAGATTGACCAGTATCTGATCAAACAAGATGGGAAGATTTACCGAAATCGAGACCAACAGCTGTAAGTACAGGTGGAGTTTGTTTCTGCCCATGCGTCTGTGCCTCACCAGAGCTTGTAACATCTTGTCTGAAACCAGCAGCCAGGAAGTGTGCTATGGGAACTGCCCTCTGAGCCACTGCTCTGTCCCTTTGAAACGTTCACAAGGGAAAACAGCCCTTGCCATTGTCCTGGAAGGTTAAATCTAGCTCTGGTGAGCCGAGGAAGGAAGCAGATACCAAAATCCCAGGGTCTTTGCCAGGAAGGACTCATTTAGAGCATCTATTGTTCTGATCAAGGTGGCTCCTGCTATGGGGCTTGTGATGGTATATTTTGTGCTTCTAAAACATTTGGAGCTTTCTAGATTAAAATGAATACTTTGAATTCTTCCCTGGGATGTCCTGGCAGCTGGTGCTGTGTAGAAATACTAGGTTATGCTCTGTGTGTGGCATATTGCTTAATAAGCAGGGCCCTGCTGTCTGCAGTAGCTTCTGTTCCATATGGTCTCAATATGTAGCTGCCCGTTGTTTGGGTCCAGAGGTGACGGGTGTGCGGAGCGGCAGGGCCGGGTCTCCATCTTGGAGGAGAGGCGCAGTCGGGAAAACACGCTTTCAGCTAGAGCTGCTGCCTCAGCATCACCCAGCCAGGGGTGGGTGAGCATAATTTGTTTTCAAAATCACGGGCAGCTCCTCTGTCGGAGTGGAGACCTGAGCTCTGTCCCCTTTTCTGGCTGCCATGCAGTCTGTCCCTGCTTGGGCAGAGCTGACACAACCCTGCATCACTGTCTTCAGCACTGCGATGGGTGCGTGTGGCACCTCGCCTAGGGTGTCCCAAGCAGGAGCCCTTCTGTGGCTTCAGATGCAGCCACGCCTCATAAAGGAAAAACACAGAAGTGAAGGGAATGAGTGAAAGTATCCAGTGGCAGAGACGTGGAAGTGGGACTTGGGTCTCTGCCTGCTTAGTTTTTTGCTTCCTTTCTATCATGTGCCTTTCTAACCTTTCTGTGAAACCAGGAAGTCCATTTTGCTCACAGAAATGCATCTAAGTCTAATTTTGCCAAAACTCTTTAACTGCAAGAGGCTTAGTTAAACAAAGCAGCTTGTATGTTTTGTGAAAGTAATAATACAATGGTGAGTTAATACCACCATAAATCTACACTGATGCTGCCAAAATGTCCTCTGTCTGGATGGTTGCGTCTTATTGCTTATCGTTAACAACGTCCCAGTTGGCTCCTGGCCTGGTGTCTGTACTGGTTGTTGGCTTGGACTGGACCCATCTACAAAGTAACTTCTGAAAGGGCTTGAGTGAAAATTTTAAAGGCAACCAGGAATTCTTTCTAAAACATAATAGCTTGCCCTTCCCCATTGTGTTGTCTTCCATATGGTTTATCTTTAGAGCTGCAGCAGCAAGGAAGTTTGGAGAGACATAGCCTTTACGTGAAAAATCCTATCTAACCTTTTCAGGCTGATGATAAATGAGGGAAATGTCACATTATTGAAACAATAAAGGCAAAACCCACCACTCCATGGCAAAAACATTGTCTTTAACTTGACCACATTTTTCAAAAGAGTAAATGAAGGTATTGTTCTTAGCAGGGAGCCAAAGCACAGTGGTGGATATTTATGATAAAAAGAGTGTGTCTGGGCTTGTTCCTGTATTTGTGAGTGCATATCAATCTAAACATGAAGGGATGCTGGCGTTCGGCTGAGTGCATTAGCAGCCTTTAGTGGTCCTTCATGTACATTGTCTGCCACAATACTTTGTTAAAAGAAATGCTGCAACTGGATCCCATCCATTTTGTCTTTGCAAGAGCCAACATCCCTGCTCCTCTCTAGAGGCCTGCCTTTGAAAACTAGCACTGACCTAGTGCTGGGGCAGAAGTATGGGGGGATTTTTTTGTTGTCTTGGGTTTTTTTAAAGCTATCACCTCAAAAGGAGATGTTTTCCCCTCTGTTTTGTAACTTTACCCAGCAGGTCTTTATCTGTCCGATAAACACATGCTTCCCTGTTTGTTCCAGACCATCCTCTAGTGACTGATAAAGGATGAATGTTTTAGTTGTCTTTTTGTTAAAACCACACAGGCCAGCCCTGTGACGTAGATTTAAAATTCTTTGAATTGAAACACAGCCCCAACGCAGGGTTGTAAAACTTGAGAAGCTGTGATCTGACATCGGTTCACGTGGCTGTTCAGAGAGCAGAGCGTCTTGCCAGTGATACAGACGTTAGGAGGGTTTGATCTTGACCTGGGACTCTCAGATTTAACCTGAAGCTGTTGCTGTCTCTATGTGAAATTATCTTGTGGTGACCCCTCTGTAATATTCCCTAATGGGTAGAGAGTTGCTCAGAGCCGTATGATTGTACAGATCTCCCACACCAAAACTTAGACTAGAGCAACTTTTACAGTCTGACTTTTCCATTATTAAGTAAGATTTAATGCTGCTTCTCTTTCTCTTTGCGTAGGTGCCGCCACGGCCCCTTGGGTAAATGCGTGCATTGCGTACCGCTGGAGGTAAGAGCCCCAAGAAGGTGCTCTAGAAGTCACGCAAAACCATGTCCTCTTGGATTCGGTTTCTTCCAGTATGAACGCTTTTCCTCAGAGCGTAGAGATGGCAGCTCTGGGTCAGGATCCTGCTGTGCACTGTCAAAGGCGCTGCCTCGCATCCAGGATTGCTAAAGCTCTAGGCCTTGATGACCCTGGGTTTATTCTGGTTAACGCTCTGTTTTTTTGCAGTAATGGACCTAACAGAAAGTGCTTTAGAAAAAGCTCCAGTTTTCCTCCTTCTTCGCTCTTGCTTGGATCTTCTTGTTTCATCCCCTCTCTTGTGGATCCCAGCGCTTCCCAGTTTAATCACGTATTATTCAGGTTGAAGGCAGCTTTAGTAACGCCTGCAAATGTGCTAAGCTGTATAATTCATGGCATGAAGCAGTGATCCCTCAAAAGTCGCTGCGAGCCAGGATGGCTGTTCCCCTGCTTCCCTGCCGTGTGCTCTGGAAGTTCTCTGGCCTTGTTTGAGCAGCTGGGCTTTTTGTTTGTCATTAGATACTGAAAGGAAAAAGCATTTTGCCTTTGAGGCTTGTTCTGATTTGTGGAGCCAATCTGTTATAAAAGTAGGAGGCGATAATAAAACTTGCTGTTGTAAAGCCCCACTGTTTCTATCACAGTAGTAGCTGCCTTGAAAACGAGCCTAAATTTTCTTGATTGTTTCCACACTGAGAGCTAGTGGGGTTGACTCTAGAACATCCATTTGTTTAGTGATCAATGTGTCATCAGACAGGTGTCTGACCTGGCTTTTTCTTTGCGTGGTGTTTTTGGCAGCCTTTTGATGAGGATTATTTAAACCATCTGGAACCTCCTGTGAAGCATATGTCCTTCCATGCCTACATCAGGAAGCTGACCGGAGGGGCAGACAAGTAAGAAAATCTCTGTGTTTAAGGGAATCTAGTTGTAGCTTCTTTTTTAAAATACAAATGAAAGTACACACAGATCGCACCAGAGCGGTGGTGGATACAACTATTAAATGGCAAACTGAGGGGAAAACATGTTAAAAAAAAAAGAAAAGAAAAAAAAAAAAGATGGGGAAAAAAATTAAGTCTGTCTTTTTTCTTTTTTTTTTTTTTTTTTTTTTCTGTGGCAATGTAATTGCTTCCAGGAAACACTGCTGATGGGGGGAGAAGGCCAGATGGAAGGAAAGAGGTTCCCTAATCACACAGTTCCAAGCCTGCGTCTCAAACCTCGTGGAGAGGCACTGAGACTGTGGTGGACCTGGGGAGCTTTTATTCACCACTGGCTTTTCTTACCTACAGACGTGAATAGGACAGAAAGACGAGCCTAACATTCCTCAGGGCCTGATTCTGCTCTATCCTATGCTCCATGTGTTCTTAGTGAAACCCTTTCTTGCGGTGGTGCCGTAGTTCACCGTCTGCTAACTGGAAAATAAGGCGTCCTGCCCCGCAATGGGGCAGAGGATACTGTGGTGACACAGGCCAGATAAGTGCTGAGCAGAGGGGAAGCGCTGAAAGAAGCATTTATTTCTTTATGCCTTGCTGTGGCACATGTGTTCAGCAAAGGTGCTGAAGTCCCCTTCAGTGATGTCAGGGAACCCACTGTGTTCTGAAATGCAGCTCCTTTAGGTAAGTTATGCAGAGGTGTAACCTCCTCCCTCCTAGTCCTCAATGCCGCTGGGATTTTTTAAATGTCTTTGTGAGATGCAGCTCAAGTCCATAATACTTTGATTTGAGGGAGCTTCCTTTTGCAGGAAGCCCTGTGCACATGAAAGGAGCTCTAATTTGCCCTCGCGGTATAATCTATTACTTCCCACGTGTTGCATAAATTATTTAAGCAAGGTCCCATGAGTTTTCTGTCTCTGCTCTTGCTCGAATATCTGCTTAGGAGCTGAGTTAGGGACCACATGTTGGCCTCTTGACCTCCCTCGCTAACTGGGCAGCAGAGGTTACTTGGGGACCGCAGGAGCGGAGCATTCCCCAGTGGGAGTTTGCAGGCTGCTTTGAGATCCTCTGAAGAAGTAAAGCATTGGTGCCACCATGTCTCCTCTGCCCTGCTTCCTCTATGATATTTCTAGCTACTTGGGTTTTTTGAGACCCAAAAGCATTTACTGTGGTAACAGCAGCTGTCTCTTTTCCTTCTTGCAGGGGGAAATTTGTTGCCCTGGAAAACATCAGCTGCAAGATCAAATCAGGCTGTGAAGGGCACCCTCCTTGGCCAGAAGGCATTTGCACAAAGTGTCAGCCAAGTGCCATCACCCTCAATAGACAGGTGAGATGGAGCTCACAGGAGCCCTTGTGCTTAAAGCTGAGGAGGGACTTGACTTTTATTTTTGGAGAGATGACTTTGAGAACAGCCGACTTGGAGCTAGAAGCCTTTGCATATTGGCAGTTGTTGGGGAAATGGCTGTTAAGGTCTTCAGTCCTTGCAGAAAAGGACTCCA